GTATGTATGTGTGTGTGTGTGTGTGTGTGTGTATGTATATATATCTATATATCTATATCTATATCTACATATCTATATCTATAGAGAGATATATATAGATAGATATAGATATAGATAGATATAGATATGGTTGTAACAAAGCACCTTGGTGCGTTGAACAGATTCTTGCCACTTCCAATAATTACCAAAAGTAGAATTATACAGAAAGCGTAAACCTGTTCAAGCTTTAGTAATTTAAATACAATTTAACATCTGTTTGTTATCTAGGTCCAATTCTGGTAGCATGTAGCCAGAGTTGGTCAAAAGAAGCGTTTAGTGTCATGCCAAAAGGACAAGCAGACACATCTCATGTATTGTTAATATCAACTATGATCACTGGATGAACCTAAAAATTCTCTGCGTTTCTTTGTGACAGAAGTTTGATAACTACATTGTTTGAACCTGGTTCAGTGCAGATTTCCATTCCACTCACACACAAAAAAAATACAGCACATTTTTGTGAACATTTTCTTCAATTGTACATGTTTACAGACACATTTGCAGATGTTAATATCTGTGTGCATGAGAACACACCACAGTGCATGGATTTCCAACAATAAATTCTTTCTTGAACTATGCCAAAAGAATATTTTGGAACTACATGCCAATCCATTTTCAAAATACATATTGTTGCATTATCTTCACAGATCCCTCCAGAGTACAAGATATACTATATTAAATACACTCTGCTGCCCCCTCCAGGACCTCATACTGACTGCCAAGAAAACAGCTGAAAAACTACAAAGCTGAAAAGGTGGGAGAAGGGAAATATGATTGCGACTATATTGCCCAAATAATCTGAGAGTTGTATCGGGTATTGATTCATGTCACATGCTTTTGTGTCACTGTCCTCACGCTCATGGGGCAGCCACAACTGAACTGGGTTGATTCAGTGCAGGGGACTACACTGCTCTTTAAATGGCCTTAAATAGACCCGGGGCTTGACACTTTGATCTGCCCGTGACTCTGTCTCAACTCTGTCTGCATTCTGTTCCTCCGGGGCTTGACACTTCGATCTGTCTCAACTCTGTCTGCATTCTGTTCCAGTGCCTATGGGATAAGTTTAATGATTTTTTTAAGAAAAGAAGTGAAACAGTTTAGACAACACGTATAATTGTTGATTTCTCAATGGAAACAAATTGTAGGCAACTGGCAGTCTTTTTGTATCTTTGTACCAAAAGATACAAAGAGAAACAGTCTCAGGATGTCTGGAATAGGTAATTAATGCATTTCGGCAGGGCTTTCATCAGAAGCAAAATCTTTCTACTTCTCATAATCATGATTCCTGATTAGCTTCAGAGCCGATACAGACCGGAGAAATACAAAGATTTTGCGAATCACATTAAGCTTTTTACCATGCAATAAAGACATCACATATTGTTACCTATTCCAGACATCCTGAGACTTGTTTCTCTTGTATCTTTTAATTTCCCAATGGGCCAGCATCCTGCATCACCTCAAATACATCACCATGACATCAGCACAGGGAACACCATCACACAAGGAATACAACAACAAAGCCATTCACACAACCAAAAAACAGTAACAACAACAACAAAAAACAGCACAATGCAGAGCAATTTAAAATAAAAAACCTCCCGATTGGTGTTCAAAAAGAAGTGATTCCTTAAAGAAAAGTGTTTCACCCATGATTACAAAAAAAATCATATGGTTCGGAAATTTTGAATTGAATTGCATTGTGTTAAACTCAAAGTAATTGGAGGTCTATACTGCATTGTAGTCACATCTTCAGTTAAGAAAGGGGCAAGCAAGAAATTCAAGATTCGCTCAACCCTATCTTGATTTTTGGTTATAGGTTTCCACAAATCTGCATGCATTCACTAATTTGGAAGAATATTACAGGAAGATGTTTCTTTTTCAACTACTGTAAGTGTTGAGAGTGAAACAAGCAAAGGACATGAATGGATGTTATTGAGGTCCCCAAAACAACTTAAAACTCTGTAAAAAGGGATAGTTGTTTCCAGTATGGCCAAATACAGAAAGATGAAATAGGGAGAAGCTGTACTCTCTAACTTCCCCTGCTAGAAGCTTTTCTACAGTTTTTTTGATATAGGGATTTACTGTACTAAAATAAAAATGCCAGAAATAATGAAGCAATAAAGAAGTAAGAGAGAAAAACAAAAGTAGAACTTGTATTCGCGAAGGCTTTCACGGCTGAGATCTAATGGTTGTTGTGGGTTTTTCGGGCTCTTTGGCTGTATTCTGAAGGTTGTTCTTCCTAACGTTTCGCCAGTCTCTGTGGCCGGCATCTTCAGAGGAGAGCACTCTGTGCTCCTGGATGGCCAAACTCTGTCCTCTAAAGATGCCGGCCACAGAGACTGCTGAAACTTTAGGAAGAACAACCTTCAGAACACGGCCAAACAGCCTGAAAAACCCACAACAACTAAAAGTAGAACTCTTTCTTCTGAGGTGCCAGGATGGTCATTTGACAGTCAACAGGGCTTAGTTTCATGAATCTCACATGAAGTAATGAAGCAGGGAAATGTGAAAATCGGCTTTCAAATCCTGGGCTATGCGGGAACACTAGTTTGCATCAATACCTTAATTAATTAATTCCTTCATAAAAGGATGATTAACATTACAAATCCCACCCTATTCTTTTTGTAAACCAAATATGTGTATGCTCATAACAAATACAATGTTATGATTCTATATGTCATACCCTAAGGAACAAGCCAAAAACAACATCCCAAATCAAACTGGACTTAGTGATGAACCTTCACGATTATAAGCTACTTTTAAAGCCCAGCTATGTTTTAGAAGGCAGAGTCTAGGAAAGGCAGCGAAAAGCTTTGCTTCCCACCAATCACATGGCTTGTTCCTCCAAACCACAGGCTTGCTCCTCAGAAAGAGAACCACAATAGAGATCCTGCCCCATAGTTAAATGCTTTAGTGTCTTAAAGGGAAGAGGACAATCTATGCTGGAGACATGAGTGACTGATGTATGAATACTAGCGTAATAAACTAATTGATATTTCACATAACCTTCCCCCATAGCTAATGATTTCTGCAAAAGGAATAATCAACAGATCATCCCAGAGAATGCACAACCAGAATTTCTTTCTCAGAAGCATCACTGAGCTATAATACACACACAACTACCTTATAATTTAAAAACATACACTTTCCCAAATTCACTAATAAGAGAAGCAACTTATGGAACAGACAGCATCCATGACATATAGGTGCACACTCTATAAGCGACACACGGCATAACAAGTGTTACACCTACTACTTTCAGAGCATTTCACTAATTCATGTATTCATTCAACCCATTCAGAGGCCAGTATGGTACTGGGGTTACAGTGTCAGACTAGGAATAGAGAAACCTAATCTTAAAGCTGTAGTCTACCATGAAATCTCCTGGTTACCTTGGACCAACCACTATTTCCTAATCTGTACTGCCTCATAAGGCTGTTGTGAGTATAGTACACTGGAGGAGAATGCCCAGACAATTAAAAAAACTACTATGAAATAATTTAACAATATTGTTAATATTAGTCAAAGAGAGATTTAATAAATGCAGCTAAACAGACACTACTTAAGCCATTGCAATACCACAGTTAGATGCTTCCATTATTAAAGCAGTTAAAATACTTTCAGTTCAACCCAAGCTTCCCAAACACAGGCTATCAAAGAAAAGATTTTTCCCCATAAACGTTGCCAGAATCTAGAAATGATAAGTAGCATCATTAATAAATGAATACTGACAAAGAATACTCAATTTAGAATTTCTCCAAACTGTGCTACGTGGAAATCTGGAGCTCCTCAGAGATTTGGGGTGTTTCAGAACGACAGATCAGATAAACATTCCAGATCTCCCTCAGAAATAGTGTGTCCCCCACATCAGATACCCCAACTCAGAGCTGCAGCCAACTGTTGAGGGTATTCTAGGACACTGGTTCTTAACCTTGGGTTACTCAGGAGTTTTGGACTGCGACTCCCAGAAGCCTTCACCACCAACTGTGCTGGCTGGGGTTTCTGGGAGTTGCAGTTCAAAAACATCCGAGTAACAAAGGTTAAGAACCACTGGTCTAGGACATATTCTCACTTCAAGTACACTACCGATAAAACCAAGAGAGAGTCCTACAAAGCTCTAAGTGTCCTGCAGCAAGGCATACAATTCTTCCTTACATTAGACAGTTAAAAAACAACAAATCTGGATAGTATTTGTTTGACAGTAGCTGTTGTTTGTGCAATTATGTTGTCAACTATCCAGAGATTGCTTTAGCACTATGGGATGGTTATGTCAGAACAACACAAAAAAAACAACAGTAACAGTCAGAGAAAAATATTCTCAGTGTCTAGGTTTTTTCTTATACTGAATTCAGTGAAAATGGTCTAATGTTGATTTTTTTAAAAACAGAGACAGGACTATAAATGTGCCTTTCAGCTCTTCAGGGCACTCCAGAACAGTATTTTTGCATTGTGAATACCTTAGACCCTGCCCCCAGCTCAAAAATCCTTCAAAACATTAATACTGGAGCAATGGCTAGTCACTCTCTGATTTGGCATGGTTCTGCTGGCCTTTTTTGTTTTGTTTTTTTGTGGTGGTTTTTTGGCTTGAATTTTGGGCACTTCCAGGCTTGGTAAGGCGATCATGGCATGTTGGGACGAAAATTGGGCCCTCAGTCCCAACCAAAGTTGCCTTCCACTGACTTATTCATATATTCTGTACATACCTTCTCTTTCCTACAACAAGCTCAAGGAACAGGTACTGTGTATATGGATCCTTTCCTCTCCAGTTTATCCTCACAACAACCCTGGGAGGTAGGTCATGCTCAGATAACATGTCTGGTCCAGTGAGGTTCATGACTGAGTGAAGATTCAAAACCAAGTCTCCACAAATTCTAGTCCGACACTCGAAGCACTATACCACAATAGTGCATATGTTATCACCACAGTAAGTTATTTAGCATGTATCAGTTGTTAATGCTTACCCATCAATGAGGTTTCGCCATAACTGTGCACCTGAAAATAAGATACGGATTATAAATCAGTACACAAAGAACTTCCCCTCACCTGGTCCAGTGCTTGTAATGCATACTTCACCCTCTTGTGACAGCTAAAGTAGACAATGCAAACCAGGGTTCCACTATTCTATAGAATCACATCCCATGTGTACAGCCCTCAAATATTCCTATTGAAGGACTCTGGAATGTGGCCTTGGTCCATGCCTTTTAGGAGACTGACTATCTGATTATGTTTCTGAATACATTTACTCAATCTCTCTAGGGACTTTATCTAGCAGAGCAGTACTTTCTTCAGCAGATTAGTAAAGATAGTGATTCACTGCCATAAGTAAGTCACCCTTCTACTTAATATAATTTATCTTGGAACCTTTACTGCTGCAGGTATGAGAATAAATAGATGTCAACAGGCCTCCAGGAGAAATACTTGCATACATGACACTCAGAAACTTACCTCTTGCCCTAGACAACACCAATTCCTTCATCATCTGCATCATGAAGATTAGTAAAGATAGTGATTCACTGCCATAAGTAAGTCACCCTTCTACTTAATATAATTTATCTTGGAACCTTTACTGCTGCAGGTATGAGAATAAATAGATGTCAACAGGCCTCCAGGAGAAATACTTGCATACATGACACTCAGAAACTTACCTCTTGCCCTAGACAACACCAATTCCTTCATCATCTGCATCATGACAATTCCAAGGAGCATGAGTGAAACCAGATGAAACAATCGCCAAGGAGTCAGTGCAAGGAACCTAAGAGGATAAAAACAGAAGCATCAAGCCATTGTACATATTTATAAAGTTCCTTTTTCCATTAAAAAAAAATCAAAGTTTGTTGCAGACAACTGCAAGCCTATGGTTAATGTTCTGGCATAAAATATATGAAGGGTTTGCAAGGTGATGAGTTTAAAAGCTGTTCCACTACTAGATTAATTTTTTAAAAAGTCTAATTATTCTACCATTGGATGCAAACTACCTGTAGAACTAGCAGTAGACAAAGAGATTCAATTCTGATAACACTTTAGTTTGTACTTCCACATGACTTCTCCCAATGGTTTCATTCACATCCTGCATTTACTAAAAGGCATGGATGACTAGATGGAACTTTGAGGCACTATAAAAGTCGTGAGGTACACTGCAAGACCCTAGCACCAACATGAGTCTAATTTTTCAGAATGGACTGAAATTATTTCTTTTTTTTTTCCAAGTAGAAATTCCATATATCTTTAATATCCTTAGCCTTTACCATTCCTCTTCTTATTTTCATTTTGCATGTTAACTTATCGTTAATTGCTAAACTGCAATTTCTTTATACCAATCTTCAAGATTAATTTGCACTTTTTCAATGCTTTGCAAATATTAATCTTGCTACTGTAACTCGTTGGAGTTTCTTCGCTTTTCCATTTTTGGGCCCAGAGTAATCTGGCTGCTGTGAGTATGTACATTAGACAATATTTCATTTTTTTATTATTAATTTCTGGCATAATATTCAATAATGCCATTTCAGGTTTTATATCTAATTTCTGCTGAGTGACTTCTTTCACTATTTCCCACACCTGTGTCCAATATTTTTTGACTTTTCGCATATCCACCACATATGTTACTAAATTCCTGCATTTTTTTTACACTTCCAACACATATTGCTGTTACCCTCTGATATTTTTGCCAGTCTTACAGATGTATAATGCCATCTATAAAACATTTTGAGGATATTTTCTCTAAGATTTACTGGTTTAATCATCTTATAACTTTCTTTCCACATCTTAGTCCAGTCATCAAGACCTACTGTATGTTATATCCAAAAATTTTTTGCCCATTTTACCATCATCTCTTTCACCCTCTCATCCTCTAGATCATATTCTAATAAATATGTATACATTTTTAATAATTTTCTCATCAGTATATACCCACAGTCTGTCCCCCTGCACTTTGCCCTTGAAGAAACCCACGGTCCTATCTTTTTTGTATCTTGATTCTAATTTCACCATTGACCACCAATCAACAGGCACACCTAATTTTTCTAACTCCTGTTTATTTTTTATCTTTTGTTCTTTAGTTAACAGATTTTCATATGTGGTCAATGCTCCTTTCTGGTTCAACACTTTTAATGTGAATGCTTCTATAAGCACCACCCACAATGGAATTTTCTTATAGGTTTGTGCTTGAAATTTTTGCCATACTATCCCTAAGGCCTTCCTGAGGATATGTTCTCCAAAACGTGAGTGTTCCCTATGCTTCCCATATAATACATATGCATGCCATCCCATTTTTAGATCATGTCCCTCCAATTTCATAAGTCTTTGATTTTCGAGAGTTATCCATTTTTTAATCCAGGTCATAGTACAAGCCTTGTAATATAGTAACCAATTTGGTAACCCTGCTCCCCCCCATCTTTCAGATCTTGTAACAATTTAAGTTTTATTCTTGGCTTCTTAGGCTTTCAGACAAAATTTGATGTCAAGCTGTCCAAGTCGTTAAAGTACTTAAAGTTCAATAGCATTGGAAGATTTTGAAATAGGAATAATAGTTTTGGTAAAATCATCATTTTTATTGTTGATATTCTTCCCATAAATGAGAGCTGTAATTTGCGCCATTCCTCAAAATTTTTCTGAATTTCTTTCTGAATAATTTTCTTTCATTAAATTGATTGGTTTTTTGGTGATGACAACTCCTAAATATTTAATTTTTTAACCACATCAAAATTGGAGAAAGGACTGAAATTATTTCTAACATCATGCTTTCTAGTCAAAGTCCATAAAGATGTTAGGTCCATCTGTCTGTCCTTCCTTCCTTACCACACTACCCAAGGCTTGCTATATATAAATTTTATATATATTGTACATAGTATGTAGATGATCACTTAACATGTTTCCCCAAAAATAAGACCTAACCTGAAAATAAGCCCTAGTATGATTTTTCAGGAGGCTCGTAATATAAGCCCTACCCCCAAAATAAGCCCCAGTTAAGTGAGACCTCGCCTTCCACTATTGTGCAGCAACCAGAAGATGACATGACTATATTTGAATAAATGTAGATTGTTGTAGATGGGGGGAAAATCCCCTGAAAATAAGCCCTATTGCGTTTTTTGGAGCAAAAATTAAAATATGACCCTGTCTTATTTTCGGGGAAACACAGTAGTTTGTTTCCATTCTCTTTATGATTTTCTGTTTTTTGCTTCCCTAGTGTAAAGAAGGGGGCTTCCCTCAAGAACTTTGGTTGGGTGTCAGTGCTGATGCTGTTTCGGTCTACAAGCGTGGAGAAGGCCGGCCGCTGGAAGGGTTTCAGTATGAACATATTCTCTCCTTTGGTGCTCCCCTGGCTAATGTCTACAAGATTGTGGTTGATGAAAGAGAGCTGCTTTTTGCAACCAGTGAGGTGAGAAAGGATTGCCACTGGCCCCTTCTGCTTTGTTGCTCTTTTCAGATCCCTTTACTTATTGGCCAATTGGTATAAAAAGAAAAAGCATAACCACTCTGCCAGTGTTCAGGATCTTCCATGCTTCTGTTACATGCACAATTTCACAAAAAATGTCTTAGGCTGAAACTTCAGCCTTGTGCATACCTACTTGAGAATAGGCCCCATAGATCTCAGTGGGAAGTGCCAGGAAGTGTGCATAGGACCGAGCTGTTAAAGAAGACGTAGGACAGCTTATTCCAGTGGCCAGGAATAAGAAAGTATGACTGACATCACCTTTTGGGGGCCTAAGGAGATTTAAAACTGGAGAGTGACCATTTGATCTCTACACTGGAAGAGCACAAGAATCAGTTACTGGAAGATGGCTGTGTGCGCGCACACCCACACCCCAGAATGAGAGCGAGAATGAAGCGAGGGTAAAGATCCAGAGTAACTTTGTCCTTCAGATTAAATCTATTCATTTGTTCAGAGTTAAACCTCATTAAAATGAATGGTAATTCCTCCTGAGTAAACATGTATAGGATTGCATTATTAATGGATTTTTTTAAAGGCAGGATCTTTATATCAAAAATAGGAAGCCTCCTATAACTGTTCAAAGAGACAGGTTCTCAGGTCAAAATTTCAAAATAGAATCCAGCTCCAGTCTCAGAGAAATGTTACTCTGGACCAAAGTTATATTTCATTTAAGGCTATATTAATGTAATTTTAATGCTAAGACCAACAATTTGCATTTTGAAAGTCTTTTCTGAACTTAACAAGGACTTCCCTCAGGTAAGCTCAATTATGCTTAAGGGGACATGGAAGGAGCCTTCCTGAAGAATGTTAGGACTGTGAACGTATTTGGGCATCCTTTGGGCAATGACAGCACCCTGTTGGTTGATCTTTCCACTCCCGAAATACTGCTGGATTGCTTCTAACATGAGCAGAGAAAAAGAAGAATCTTCACAGTGAGCCTAATCCTGATTAAGGCCAGTGCAACTGTTCCTATTTTGCAGAAGAGGTCTAAGAATAGGTTGAGTATATATGTAAATTTAGCATAATCTCAAACTTTGTGGAAGATGCATTGCTTAGAAAGCTGTGCCTGTTGAACCTCTACATGTACTGCCCCTGTCAAAGGAGCTCTGAGAGAGGAAAGGCCATATTAACCTGTGGAAAAGAAAGAACATGGGAATGCACAAAACATTTGGGTCTGCACATTGTGCAGCTGTACACTACAGGGAAAGCATCGAAGAAAACCCACACACCGGTATCCTGTTTATGATGTACCTTTAAAATGAGTGCTTCTGAACAGGAAACTGATGATGGTGTGCGCTATGTACTAGTCAAACCTTTCATGATCCACTACATTATTTGCACAACAAGAGAGAAGTTTGCACAATATGTGTAATATGACTGCCTGGATTTAGGGAACTAGAATATGGCAACCCAGGAAGAGAGAAATCCTGATTAAGAGGAGGAGGATAAAAAAAAGAAAAAATGAGCACTGGGGTAGAAGAAATGAAAGCTCTCTGAGAAATAAATAAATGAAGTAGGGCAAAACAAACAGTAAACTGAACGGGACAAAGTAGTTTCCTTCTCAAGTAAAGGTGGTATGATCTGAATTAGCATCAATGAGAAGCAAAAGGAAGAACAGTGTAAACAAAAAGGGGAGGTAAGGAATTAATACAGTTGTTACCTTGTGAAGCTGTCATTTCAGCAATTCCAGTAATAAAGAGAAAAGATCTAATGAGCAAGGGGTAGCCTCCACCTTCAAAAAGTTCATCCACAAGCTGAAATGCATGCATTCGAACATTAATAGTGTCTTGGTTATGTCCACTGTGATAACTGCAGTATAAAAGCTAGGGCAAATGCAAATGATTTTATCTGCAGAAGACAGTGCATATTCAAACAGCAGGCTCCCAAGGATTCCACCAGCTGATCATCTGGGATCATGTAAAGGAGGTCCCTCACCCCACCTGTCCGGGCTCCACTGTCTCCTATTGCGAGGTATGATAGGTGGCATCTGATACAGTGGGCTCTAGTGTGTCCGTGATTATATTCACCTCAAATCTTCTGACAACTGTGATCCACTTGCTCACCCAAACGTTTCACTGTTCTCAGTTTCTCAGGCTTATGGTTGTCAAAACAGCCTTACAATTCCAAATTGTTCCAGGTAAGATGGGTCTCAGCATGTATGTGTAAGTCCATCCAAGACCACAGAACCTGGGGGCCCTCAATAAAATTGGGCAAGGAAGATGGGACTTTAAGGTTTCGATCAAAAGGGGGAAAAAACCACAGACACAAAGGAAGATCTCTTCTTATTTTTGCGTTCTTATGTTGATTCCCAAAAGACAGCCCCT